CTTTTATTTTACAAATTCTCGTTGGTTAATTAAAGCCTAAAAATCAGACAATTTTCTAGAAGTTAAGAGATAACAACTATAAAGAAGAAAATAATTAACAATGGAAATTGAGTTAATCTCATATGGTCAATTTATATTAAACGGCTAATATTTTAAAATGAATTGATTAATATGATAGTTACTATTACCATTTTTTCATTACATTCAAGACTGTCATTTCTGATTACTTACGTAACATCTTATTTCATTGTCTCTGTTTTAGTTACAATTTCAATTGTTGAAATCATGAGTCAGTTGAAGCTAGGCCACCATAGAAAACCTAGAAGCATTAAACGACCATTTTGTCCTATTACGGTACTCCCCAGCAGTGTGCATCCATGATCCCGCCTCGCAGGATTCGAACCCAATTTATTTGAGTTATAATCATTTTACATTGTAAATCTATTCACTCTCTATATTTAAATAACAAAAGAAACCTATTGATGTTATTGAAGGGGAAAGAAGAGAACAAGAATAAAAAGAGAGAACCCTTGTATATGATACTATTGATCTTTTGACATTAATCTAGTTTTTTTTCTTTTCTAGACCTTTGCGTTTCTTATGTAATGTCTTTTATAGCAAGCATATGTTTATGTAGATTTTATAAAGGCAGTTTATTTTCAGAAGGGGTTTTGTAGAGATTATAGTATTTTCAATAGTTGAGATCATGAGTTGATTGAAGCTAGACCAACATAGAAAACCTGGAAACACTGAACGGCCGTTTCGTCATAATGTGAGACTCCTCAACCGTGCACATCCACGAACCCGTCACGTGGGCATCGAATCCAAGGCCTAGCGGTCTCGCACATGAGGGCCTCACAAATGCATGATTTATGATCTAAATTCATTTTATACTGATTAAAACTATACAAGAGAACTATGCTAAAAAGAACCTTATCTACACTTGATTTATTTTGAATATTTGAAAATCTTATTTATTGTAGCAACAAATTCAATCAATAAATTAATACAATCTCCACAAACCCTCATTCTGATAATAATCATGATGTGCTCAGTAGTGACTGATTTCAAGATATATTTCTTGGAGTTCTAGTGAGAAGCCTTAACTAACGGCATCCAATCGGGTCTGTTATGAGGTGGCTAATCACTGAAGACATTGGTGGAAGTCGGGTGAAATATCATAGATTGGTTCAAGTAAAGCATCAACAGCGTTGGATCCCAGCTGGCTCATTGGTCTAAAGGTTAACTGTTCAGGCATAAGAATCAAGGTCCTGGGTTAGAATCTCGAATGCAAGTTCATAGGTACGCACTGCTTAGTCGTCCTATTCTAGAAAGTAACGTCCACCCTATGAATCCAGGCTTTCCAATGGTTGTCTAGCTTTAATCGACTCATGAATTTAACCATTAAATAACTTTTTTTTTGTAAAAGATAAATGAGTTTCAAAGATCATACAATTGATTCTCTTTACAAATTGAAACAAAGTAAGAACAATAAAATTTGTAGATTACGATGAATTCATTGTATATTGTCTGAATGATCTAATCATTTCTTATATACATATTATTCAAATGTATAATCTTTTCCATTATATTATAAAATAATATTTGATATTTTTAATGAAGTTTTGTTCACTGAGCTTGATGATTTTATCATTGTTAGGGTTTGAAAAAGAGAGCTATCATGGGTTCACGTAGTCTGCGTACGAGAAACGAGATTCGATGATCAATGACCAGTAAGCTAGCTATTGCTGCGCCCCAGCCCCGCTATCAAGAGGGAGAAGTCCAAGCTTGAAATAAGAAGTGTATTCTGCAGCAACCAGAGAAAAGAGCGAAGTCCCTTTAGTAGAAAATATACTCGTTTATATATTGATTGTACACCCGTTTTGATTAATAATTAGAAGAAAATCACATACATGAAAAATACTCACAGTTATAACAAATGCTGAGTATAGTTCATAGTCAATGGAATACAAGAATATTGTATATGATACAGAAGAAAAAGATCATACGAGAAAAGAAAACAAAAACTACATCGTGTAATCATTACATTGAATCAAAAAGGATGTAATGATGAATAAAACTCATATTAAGTAAATCAATCGAATATTGATTTTTCCTCTCATCATATCAATCATACAGCTTTTATCGTTCTACTAAATGATAACATCATCATCAGCAGCAGCATAAACTTCAGACAGATGTGAACTGTTCGAGTTTCTCCATATATAACTTACAGTTTATGTTATAGACTTATTGATACTAAATCTCAAACAATTAAAATACTAGGACGAAACGGCCGTCCAATGCTTCCAGGTTTCCAACGGTGGTCTAACATCAGTCGATTCATGATCTCAATCAAAATTAAAATAGAATCATACTTTGATGGAGTTTTTTTTTTCTCTTAGTTGAACATTGATTCCTATAGAACAAACTGTAGTTCTCTTTATATCCAAAAAGCAATATCCCTTGTAGGTTTTATGGCCTACCAAAAATACACAAAACAGATATCCCACTAAGACCTGTGGTTGATTACATAAATTCACCAACCTATAATCTTTCTAGATACCTGGCCAAAATTCTTAAACCATATGAAAGCGTAATAAAATATGGAATAAAAAATTCTAATGATTTCAAACACATTCTCAGTAATATCCGCATAGAAGAGGATGAAATAATGGCAAGTTTTGATGTTTGCTCATTGTTCACTAATGTTACTATTAATAAAGCTTTAGATATTACGTATAACCTCTTAGATTCTGACACTGAACTTAAACAACGATGTCCTCTAGATCCCTCAGAAATTATTAGAGCGTTGGATTTGTGCTTACATTCAACTGTTTTCAGTTTTCGAGGAGATTTGTACAGACAAACAGAAGGTGTAGCTATGGGATCACCGGTTTCTCCAATTATTGCTAACTTATTCATTAATTCACTGGAAACAAGTGCTATCTCAATGTGCTCCATTCCACCAAAAATTTGGTTAAGATACGTAGATGACACTTTTATCATTATAAAACGAGATGCTATAGACGAACTATTTCAACGTGTCAACAGCATTTATGACAAAATCAAGTTCACTAAAGAGTTGGAATCTCCTGAACGAAAATTACCTTTTCTAGACTGTTTGGTTGAAAGGAAGGATAATGATTGTTTAAAAATTAATATTTTCCGAAAGCCGACATATTCAGGGAAATTTCTAGATTTTAAGTCTGCACATCCACATTCTACCAAGGTAACAGTAGCCAAAAATCTGATAACCAGAGTCAAAAAACTTGTCACTGAACCAAATGATATAAAAATGGAAATGAATTTAATTGTATCCACTCTAATGATGAATAATTATCCGAAGGGTTTTATTAAAAGAATAATTAAGAATGAACAACAAAATGATATCATTAAAAAAAGAGCTAAGCAAAAAGAATGGATTAACACGGTGGTGATCCCATATCGTAAAGGTATTTCAGAAGAGATCAGAAGGATTCTAACTCTTCAAAATATAAGAGTATTTTTTCGAACAAACAATACTCTGAGATCAAAACTAGTACGAATCAAAGATCCAATACTCAAGGATGAACAACAGAATTGTGTGTATGAAATCAAATGTAATGATTGCAAGGCAACGTATGTAGGTGAAACATCTAGGCAATTGAATGTGAGGGTGAAGGAACACAAACTGTGCTTAAAGCACATTCCTAAATCCTCAGATGATGTGAAAAGACTTGAGAACAAATCAGCAATAGCACTACATTCGATTGAATCGGGTCATATAATTGACTTTAATGGCGCACGAATCATTCAAAAAGGCTTTAACTCTTACAAAGAACGACTAACAGCCAAAGCCCTACATATATGGGCTAATTCAAACAGTATTAATAGGAGAGATGGAATACAATTAGCTGTCCCATGGCAACTAATAATTAATAAGTAAACCTGAACTCCTTATTACATTCTATCTATTGATGAACTAATCAATAGATAATACATTTAACGGTTTCAACTCAGTTATTGTATCTGATTATGTTAAACAATTGATGGGAACACTGAAATAACACAAACTTTCAATTACAAATACATTCCTCTTTGAATTCAGTCTGTTATCTTGTTTACTTATCTTGTTTATTTATCGTCATTTAATGCATGCTGTGACATTTTGATTCATATCATCTATAAAATGATATGTTTTCTTAATATACACATACCGAAGACAACATATATTTGAATGAAATTTCTTCACACATCACTTACGTAAACACACAATCTGTTATCTTAACACTTTTCGTTTTTTCATAACACAAGTCTCTTACACAGTAATGTAAATACCTACTTTAAACATTGTTCACGTTGATTGGATGACTTATTCAGTATACAGTAAACCAGAGAACCATGTACCCCTATTTATATTCGATAATTTTGTTGTTTGATTATATTTTCCTTGAAAAATCTTGGACCAGATTGCCAGGCGAAATGTTGGATTTACTTAAAATTCATTCGCTGAGATTTTACAAATACATTTTTTCTCTTTAATGTCTAACATTAACTCGGCGCCCAAATATTGTGAAACTATTCGTTCAAATTTAGACGAAAGTTCTTATATATATGAAGAAATTTAAACACTTCATATCTACTTGAACATTGTACTGATGATCATATCGTTCAGAAGAATAATGAATACTCTATAATAAAATCATTCAATACAGAGAATAATACTCTATGAAAATCGTTTAAAGATCTCCATCATATTAATAGACTAGTTTAAATACCAATCTTTTAATATGATGGAGATCTTTAAACGATTAAAATGTTGTAAACAACTCATTGATTACACTAAAGGTGCTCAATGAGTTCCTGATGTATAATGTAAAGTTCACTAAAACAAAAACTATTATTGATTCTATCAAAATTATTTACTTGAACTAGAAAAAAATCTTTTTTTTTTTTTACCATTACAAGAATTAATCAATAAAAATCAATATAAATATACAAGTTTTTTTATTACTTACTTTACCAAATTCACTAAAAAATGTTTTTAATTCATCTGCTGTAGTACCAGTAGAAACACCACCAATAAATACTTTTTTTGTTCGAACTAATGCTTGTGCTGCTAATAATGTAGCAGACCAATGATCTAATGTTAATGGACTAGTAATAGGACTATTAGTTGATGAATTATTATTTCCATAACATGGTGATTGTATTCTTGTAGAATTAGTAGATAAATTCTTTTCTTTATTATTATGATTCATATAGATTGGATCTATATTACTATTAGTAATAGTAGTATTAGTAGTAGTAGTATTAGTAGTAATAGTAGTAGTATTAGTATTGTTATTATTATTTGCTGATATTCCTATCTCTGATGAATTCATTGAAGGTAAGGATACATGAAATGTTAAAGATTGTTGAAGTTTAACATCATCCATTAACATAATTATTTGATTTGTTCTAATATAAATAATCTTTAATAGAATAGAAATAAGTTTTATTGTTTATAATCCCGTAAAAAATAAAAATTACAAAAGTTATTTGAAAGATAATAATATCGTTTATAATCTTTATAATGTCTCTATTGTAATCCTTGACAATAGCAACAACAACAACAACAACAATGATACAATATAATAAGGAACAATGTATAACATGAACACGTTATTGTACGAATGATGTAATATTGAAGTTCTGTTTAAAACATTCTTTTTGACCTAGTACATACATACGTACATACATATATACATACATATAGAATGACATAATGTGTTTTGTGATCGGCATCTGTGAACGATGCAAACATACTACTATACAAACATATACACACATACACACACACACACACACCTACACACCATCCAACCTCATTTCCTTTTCTTTTACCTAACCCTAACCCCTAAAAACAAAAAAATGGAAAAAGATTTTTATTTTATTCGGTTATTTGTCATGGTATTGGTTTTGTCATAAGAATAATAATGATTAGTTGAATTTGATTGGTCGAAAAAAAATTAACCAATCATATTCAAGTATTTTTTATTTTTTTTATTTTTTTAAATTTTTGATAGAATACATAAATAAAAAGTAATCTCACCATAGTAATTAAACATTCCAATAAAATTTTCATAGTGGTGAATACTAAATTAATTAAAGTAATATAAGTAGTATAATGACAACTCTGTTATGTTTGTTCGTTTGTTTGTTTCTTTGTTGTTGTTGTATGTGTGTGTGTGTATATATAATAAAAGCCCGCATTAAGTATCAAATGAATGAAATTTGAATGACCATAATCAAAGACAACAACTATTGACATTTAATTATTTACTTAGATTTGATTTATCAATTTAACCCCTTCTAATATGAATTAGTTATTGTCTAATAATTATAATAGTAAACAGGTTATAATTAGATACTATGCGGGTTAGTTCTATTCACAAAATTCTCATTTAAATAATGATTAGTTCATTATTATAATGAAGTTAATGTGAATAATTAGCACAGCATGATTATTTCATTTTTCAAAAAAGTATACTTCAGTTCGTAGAGAAGATTTATAACTTACATGGATGGTTTTCATGGAGTTTTGTTCTTTGAGTTAGATGGTTTGGTCGTGGTCATGTTATCATCATTGACATCATCAGCTGATGATTTTGATCAGTAGAATGGTAAGAGCTCTACGACTAAATCATTCAACTCAGAGAATTAAACTCCATCAAATTATATTTCAGTCATTTCGAAAAGAAATTTTTATTGTATTGATTATATTGACAAATTATTTAAAGATTCATACAAAGAGAGATCAGATATATATGCGTCACATTTCGTTATTCGATTTCTCTAAGGGCTGCAATACAGTCCGGGTGATCAACCCGAAGCAGGTGGTTTTGTTAAGAGGTTATAACCTTTGACCTAAAGGTCTAATCCACAAGGAAGTGGAGTAACATTAGGAGATGCGAAGACATAGCAGCCATTGACTAACAATATGTTCATACCCCATTTATTCCCTTAAAATCATAGAACCCATGTGTACAATTGTTTTGGAATTGAGGTTTGCCAACTTCTCTTCGTTGATATTCACCAATACAGTTAAGGCACCGGACATTCGCTTTTCATACTCATAATTTTATAAACAACAGCCTTGTCGTGAGGATGTAGTGAGTATTACTTCCCTGACAATGAATGTAGACGCGTGAGAGTATTTCGAGAGAGAGAGAGAGAGAGAGTGGACTCTCCTCACCCTTAGTCGTACTAGGACATTTAAGGACAACACTTATGTAGATAGTTACATATTACACAGTGATTACTCCGTGATATAAACAAAACTATGTATCCACGAACATTTATTCAGCTAATCAATTACATTATTGATTATATGTACAGCCTAATATACATATACCTATATAGTCTAGATGTATATAAATAGCAGTTTGAATTTATTATACCCTTAAAATGCCAACCTTCATTATTCTATTTGGTGTTATTCATAGAAATTCTAATTACTGTCTGTGAAAATTTTTTTTCCCAAAAAAATTCTTAATATTTTCACGACTATTAGAACTAAGAAAAATTGATAACTGAACGGTTATACGTTACTAAGGAAAAAATTTGAATATAAAGTGTTAGTTCACTTGGTGTTGTTTTACTTGTATCTTTTCCATTGTTATTTAGGACTGTGATTGATCAGTCTCTTATTAGCATATGTGTATCCTGAGCGGATTGCCTCGATATCACCTTAAGTCCTAAGCTTTTTAATTAAAGATAGATAGTGGCTAACAGTAGAATCCAGGACGCGCGTTTCATCCTAAATGTACCTACATCTCTGTGTTGATGTTCCCCTCCGGTATTTGAATCCAGTACCATTCGTTTGAAATGCTATCACGTTATCCATTTAGCCAATGAGTCCTGATGGCCACTTGTTTGTATAATGTGTTCATGTTTAAATTCACTTGATGTTGTTTTACTTGTATCCTTCCCATTGTTATTTAGAACTACAATTGATCAGTCTCATGTTGTTATATGTGCATCCTATCTAGATTGTTTCAATATCACTTTAAATCACAATCTTTTTAAGTAAAAATGGACGAACGTTTCGTCCTATTTAATAATCGTCAGCTGAACGTACTTGTATCTCAAAGTTGATGCTTCCCTCCGATATTTGAACCCAGTACCATTCTCTCGAAACGCCATCAAGTTATTCAATTAGCTACTGAGTTCTTATAGCCATTTGCTTGTGCAATGTGTTAAAGTTTAAATCCATGTGATATTGTTTTAACTTGTATCTTCCGATTGTTATTTAGGACTGTAATTGATCAGTCTCTTATTGGCATTTGTTAGTTACTAAATGATTCAGTAAAAAAGAAAAAAAAAAGGAAAACAATCATAGAAAATAACCTACTATCTCAGTTTCCATCTCTTTAAATAACCACAAATTCAATGAAATACTATTCATTATACAATTCAATGACCATTCTCAATCGATAACTTCCTGTAGAATAGTTACGAGATGGATGGTTATTACAGTCTAATGTATAGTAAATAATTCTACTCAAGTATTATTGTTTAATAGATGTGTAGCGAATGAGAATACAAGTGGGGACAAACGTATTAGGTAAATCTGAGAACTATACAATGAATATTTCATTTGTAAAATGTCAATCAATCATCTTAGACTTTATTGTTCCTTCATTTCCACTCTAATCATTGGTTATTCTTGTTGTCTTTTCTTCCGTCAACTTAACCATCTACTTCCAAACAATTCACCTTCAATTGATGATACATACTACTTATATTATCTGTCAATATTAGTAGTACATACCACAGACGAACCAATGTAATTTTTTTTTTAATGAACCTTTCCATATTCTAAGAAGTGATAATCACAGTTGAAGACATAAATAGCTATAAACTTCTTACTTCTAAAAGTAAATAGTGAAAATTTGTTTATGAAGAAGAAATCAAAAGGAAGAAACCAATGAGTAACATCGTTACGTCGTTACTAATCGCCTTAGAATTTATGTTACTTACTGATGCCAATTACCCCTTGTGGAGGAACGTAGGACGCTAACCAGCATTCTTCATTCAATTCTTTCCAGTAGCTTCCAGTTACTATAGATCCTCTTTATATCTGCTACCAATTCTTAATACAGTGTGTTGTTGGATTTTCCACATTTTTGCTTACCTCCAGGGTTTCAAGTTATCACTTACCTTGTGATATAGTTTGATAAGTTCCACAATGTATGTCCTATTGACTTTAAATGTCTTTTCCTAATTTCATCATCATTTAGAAGCTGGTTTGTTCAATCTCAGAATTGCTCATGTGAAACGAATAATTTATCAACTTTTATAAAACACTTTATTGACAAATAGATTCATAGTTTGTATATTCAATATACAAAAGAAAATTATTAAAGTTAGACCATCATAGAAAATCCGAAAATAGTAGTTTCGTGTAACTATGGGATTCCTCAACAAAGCGCATCTATGATCTTATTCCATGAGATTCGAACAGAAGTCCTATCAGTGTCACGTGAGAACATTTAACATCTAAACCAATGAACTGGCAGTCATCTAACAGTGTTTATGTATAACTTTAATTAATCCATGAAATTGTGCCATCGTCCACGATCATCTAGCTATGATTAACACATGAATTCAATTAGAAAATTACTAAAATCTTCATAAGACTCCATTCTGATATTTATGAATTAGGGATTGTTATTAATCTAATTACAGTTTACATTCATAATGGTAATACTATTCATTATTAGTATTACCACTCATGACTTTACTCAATATTATATTTTTTAGTACAATAAGAAATCTTCAGCACAAAGTATTTCAATAAGTATCCTTTTCTTTTATTTCTTGATCAATTTTGATGACAAATATTAATTAGTTATTAACTAGAAGTTAGAAGTTCAGGAATTCAAATCTGAATAGATGAAATCATGAATCAGTTAAAGCTTGAGCAACATGGAAAACCTGAAAGCACTAGACGTCCGTTTTGTCCTAGTATGAGACTCGTCAGTAGTGCGCATCTACGAAACCGCCCCTCCGCGAGATTCGAACCCAGGATGGTGGTTCAATTTCGTGGATTGGTTGAAGTTAGACATTAACACAGTTGGATGCCGGCTGGTTTAGTGGTATAATGGTTAAGCGCTCGCACGCGAAGCTGATAGGTTTTGGGTTCGAATATCGCGGGGGTGGGGCGGCGTCGTGGATGCTCACTGCTGAGGAGTCCCATACTAAGATCAAACCACTGTTCAGTGCTTTCAGGTTTTCCATAGTGGTCTAACTTCAATTGACTCATGATTTTAACTATTGAAATTACTAAAATCTTCACAAAACCGCTTCTGACAAACAAACAAGAAACTAGATAACTTGTTGAAATACCTAAATGATAGTAAGGAATAGATAGGCTAGTAAACTCTGCCTGGAGCCTTGTTATTCAATCAGACCATTATACAACTATATTAGATTTGTTAAATAAATAGTATTTAATAATGAACAAAACTTTATTATCTGGCTATATGGGATCTTTTTTAATTAGATCACATAGGATCATTTATAGAACACTTCTATAGAATTCTTTTATCTAATCAATAACATGATCTAGTTTACTGAAGATCTTTTCACATTTGAAGTACTTCAATAATGGAAATATTATACTTCATTGAAAAAAAAATAGCCGTTTTCTTTATTATTATTAAATTCATGTCATTCAATGGAATTTTATTCTTTGAACAGGATGATTTGATCATGGAGCTTTTATGATTCTTCTGAACGACATCATACACAGTTGAATCTTCAGGTAGAAGTCAAGTGTTCGAATTACTTGACATATGGAGAATCATCCATCTGAGTTACACATCTTCTCCATCATCTTAAAAATT